CAAGCTCCAAGCACATGTGATGTGGGAAAACTGGCAGGTGGCCAGAGTTTTCTGACCCCTGTGCAAAACCAAAGCCAGGCACTGTCATGCTGGACAAGCACAAGTGAACTACACTAGTGGTGGACAGAAAGAATGTCTTTGCACCTGCCAGCCACCTCCATGCTGCCTCAGGATACCCTGAGACAAGCTCTCCTCAGAAAGATCCAAGTCCTCACGTGATGACAAGTCCACTGACCTGCTCAGGACCAAGGGGCTTCTGAATGAGGCACACCAAGAGAGGTGAGCAGACAAAATGAGGACAAGCACCCACTGCAAAGGGGGCAAGGGCACACCACCAGGGTGCACCATCGGGCCGAGAAAATACTAAGAGCCACATCCATTATGCACTATACAAGTAAACACCCGTGCCTTAGACGCCCACTCACAGCCTGTGGCCGATGCAACTCTGCCCAGTGCACGGGATGCTCATGGCTAGTTTCTCTGATTTAGTTACACAGAACAACATCTGCCATTTATACCCTAAGTAATCCCCACTTCTCTTGCCAAGCAACAAATTCAAAGATGGTTCTCCCACCTACATCCCATCCTTTGGCCCTGGCTTAAAATTCCTTTCATATCTTTCTAACCTTAAAACTCACTAGCACCAACTGCAGTCAAAGTGGATACAGAGAACTGTAGGGCCTGGCTGTGGTAAACATACTTTCCAAAGACCCACCTGGGCTAACTACATCTACAACCTCAAAGCTGGGACAGTGGCCCCATTCCAAGGCAGAAGTTCATGTGCAAGTAGCAGTTTTCTCTAGATCTGGCTCAGTCGGAGACAGAACACCCTAGTTCAGGATAGCTTCCAACCATACAGTATTTGCTATTTCCCTTTTCCTCCTGAAACATCATCTCACTAAATCAGGGGCCAGATGAGTGACAAACAGCAACTCTGTTTTCAACATACCATGGACGCAGAAACATACTCAAAATGGATCAAATATCAAGCCTTTTCGAAGCACTCCCCATGGGCAGCTTAGAAGTTTCACGCCTGGCCTGCCCCCAAAGACAACACTGGAGAGAAATTGACACACAACGGCAGATGCTCAAATGCACAACACAGCACAGTCCCACTGGAGGATGTCCCAAGAGGAAGCGAGAATTCACTCAGGCTGTCTAGAAAAAGAACTTTCACGGCAGCAGTGGACTAAAAGTTGGCCCCTAAAATAGGTCAAAGGCCTATGGATACAAGGCATGGTGGGTAATTAAGTCCCAGCCTGAGCTTTGAGGACATGAGGAGACAGGTACAGCACAGAGGATTGGACATGAGGCTGAAAGGGCTGTCAAGCAAGCCTTGAATGCGTTTGCATTCTCTACTATCCCTAGCAATCTTGCTGTCAACAACTCTGGAAAGTGTCTTCCAGAAACTTACTTCCCTGTAGTAACTCACAGCCCTGGCACCCCTGACAATAGTCTGCCTTTGGTGCTCTCCCATAATCAATAAACCCAGAAGGTTCCTAAAAGGTTTCTTGGGAACTACTTCTCTTAAATTTCCTAACACAAGTCTCATCTTGGCATCACATTCTGCAAAGCTAAGCTCAATAAACACCAGTCAAACACCAGAAAAGGAATCTTCCACCAGGTCCCGGCTAAAGTTCAACTCTAAGAGTATTTGCCAGGTATCCTTTCCTTGATCTTAACTATGAGGTCAGAGCCTTGAGATCTTTCCACATGAATCAACATCCTGTTTATCTTCCATCATGTAATTAATGGCCTCCATCTGTTAACACCCCTTCCTTCTACCCTTCTCCTTAGTAGGATTTAATTAAGGTGGAATCTCTTGGGATATTCTTTCATCAGAACCTGGTGTGTGTGGTGGTACCAAGAACACAGAACATTTATAGATTTTTCTTATTTGAATACTCTAGTAACATGACTAATGTGAATTAGAATTACTCTTCTAGCAACCTATGACTAAAACAAACACTATCAACCATGGTACCAAGATTGCATCCACCATATTTTTCTGGAGATAGGGTCCTTGTAGCCTAGGCTAGCCTCAAACTCATTATGTACCTGAGGATGACCTCAAACTCCAAATTCTTTTACTTCTATCTCCCAAAATGCTGGGATTACAGTTGCTTTCTATCATACTTGGTGCTGTTATATTATTTTTATGTTCTGAATTGTGGTTTTATAATTTAGAAATCAAATGTAATTTAAAACAAATAAATTTTAGATTTTACTTTATGCGTATGAGTGTTTTTCATATACACATGTATGTGCACCATGTATTCAAAGGGGTCAAAAGAGGGTTTCAGACTCCCTAGAACTGGATGGTTGTGAGCCACCATGAGGGGTTCTGGGAACCCAATCTGGGTTCTCCGTAAGAGCAATCAGTGTTCTTAACCACTGGACCAAGTAACTCTCTAGCTCTGAAATAATAAATTTTTAAAAAACTAAAACATAATCTGATAGAGAATCTCCCACTGCAGTAAAGGAAATACAAACACACATACACACACCATGTAAATGTGTGTGTGTATGTGTGTTGGCACACAAGTACCATAATGTGCACTTGGAGGTCGGAGTACAACTTTTTAAAACAATTTTTAATGACTTGTTTTTATTTTTTATTTTATGTGCATTGGTGTTTTGCTTGCATATATGTCTGTTGAGTGTGTCAGACCTCTTGAAACTGGAGTTACAGATAGTTGTGAGCTGCCATGTGGGTGATGGGAACTGAGCCTGAGTCTTCTGGAAGGGCAGTCAATTCTTCTAACTACTGATCTACCTCTCCAGCCCCCCCCCCTTTTTTTTTTGTTAATTTGAGACAGGGTTTCTCTGTGTAGCCCTGGCTGTCCTGAAACTCACTCTGTAGACCAAGTTGGACTCAAACTCATAAAGATCTGCCTGCGTCTGTCTCACCAGTTCTGGGATTAAAGGTGTGCGCCACCACTGCCCAGTTCAAAGTACAACTTTCAAGAGTCAGTTTTTTCCTTCCACCTTGTGGGTCCCAGAGACTCAAATCAAATTGGGCCACCTCACTGGCCCAATAAAGGGTAGTTTATAAAGTACTCTTAAGAGGCAGTGAAACAAAGAGATGTATTTGACTTTATGCTAAAGTGAAACAGTTCTAAACCCATTGTTCCAGTGCTAAAATTAGGCAGACACTAGAAGCCAATGGATAAGGCCAATTTAAAAACTGATTTAACAGACAAGGCAGGGATGCTTGAGTAGAAAGACAAGAATGGTTATAAACACTCACTGATTGAAAAACCAACAATAAAACATACACCCTCACTATAAAAAGAAAACCCAGCTGACAAAAGCCTATTCCTATCCTGGAAACTTTTGTCATTGTCTGGAAGGTCAGTTCTGTAAGAGTAAAGAGATTTGGTTAACTCAGAAATGGGGAAAGCTGGGAGAAGGCTTGTGAGGGACTAAAACGCTATTATCTAAAACCCTAACTTCTTGGTTAATTTGCAGTAACTCAAGAATTCTTACTTTCTGGTCACACTGAGATATTGTTCTGTCGGCCTTGTGAAGTGAACGGGCTCCCAATCCTTCTAGAAAGCCTTCTGGGCGGCAGCTTTCAGGCTGGCGAGGCACAAAGTGGAGTGCCATTGTGTAGGCTCGACCCGAAAACTCACCAAGTTAGTATAAGGCTCGGAAACCGCCAATGGGGAAAAGGGAGAAAACTACTTTTCTTCTAAGTTTCAATACTGCACTATGCCACACAACTCTTGTAATCCAAACACGTTTTGTTACCACAGGTGTGGTATTTAATTAAATGTACTAGTATTTAATTAAATGTAAGATATACTACAAACTAACCTGGAAATTCTACCTGTTTGCAAAGGCAGCGGGGAAACCAAGTTTGGAAAGCAGAGCGAAAAGAATTCTATACCTGGTCTCTCTTAGACATCCCTAAGATTTTTCTACATGTGGCCCCAAACATGAATTCAATACAAATAATTCATATATTAGAAGTAAAATGACACCTTTGGACATTCTTGCTCAGGAGGTACCTACTAAGCTTCAAAGCCCGTTCATATTATGGATGAGAAGGATGGAGCACAAACTCTGCAAGTCACTGGGAAAAGGGCAGACACTGTGGCAACCCTCATGGCCTACGTTAATTTAAACGTCTGGAATGTGAAAAGACCAGATGAATGCAAAGGGTTCTCAGGTTCCAAAGTCAGCAAATAACTGGGGCGAGTTCACACACCCTGGGCAAAAGAATCTAGGGAGAGGAAATAAACTAGAGCCACAGCAATGAGAAGCAAGAAAGACAAGGCGAGCGAGAGAGGCACTATTAATCAGAGGGCTGAGGTAGATGGGCACAAGAGTGCCATCCTCGCTCCGGCCCAGGACGCTGGGCTCAGAGTGCCCGCTCCGCTGAGTGCCCTCGGTGTGGAGAGGTGGGTGGCGCGGAGGGAGACCAGGGCAACAGGCCCCCCGCCGACCCACGAGGGCCTCACCTTGTCTGAGTCTAGGTCGGGGTCCGCCTGGCACAAGCGGTACAGGAAAGACTTCGGGTCCCGGCACAGCGTCTGCCGGGTGGTGAGGAAGTAGGTGCCGCCGACGTTCAGCCGGACCCACTTGGACACACCACTGGGGCGGTGTGCCAGGGCGCCGAGCCCAGCGCTGCAGCGACGGCACAGGCCGCCCCCCAGCCCCGCCCCGAGGCCGCTCGGAGCCGGTGGCAGCAGCTCGCAGTGATTCTCCGCCATGATCCCAACAAGCACCGCCACAGTGCCCCTTCGCCGGAAGCGTCCGTTCTTTAATACAGTCCTCTCAGTTGTCCCGCCCCTAGGTCCACCCCAGTAAAGTGCCCTCCCAGACATGATGTGCAAGGCGGAAGTTCCGACCCGAAAAGCAGGTCGGCGACAACCGCTTCCGGCCACAGCGAACCTCGGGAACTCACAGGGATCTTGGGCTACAGCTCCGCCCCCGCCCCGCCCCCGCCCCCGCCCCAGCTAGGCCAAAAGAAGAGCCAGAACGGCGAACGTGTATACACTCTACATGCTTTTATTACAAGACTACCGAGCATACGAGGGAAATCCATCATCTGGTAATTACATCTAAAGCACAGATATTTGAAAAAAAGAGAAAAAATTGTTTCATTAAATTATATGATTAAACCATGACCAAATAGAAAATTTATATAATAAAGCCAGGAAAAAAGTTGTAAAATATAGTTTACAATAATTATTCACATTCAAGGCTGTACATCAATACATACAACAACGTGGCCCCAAACATGAATTCAATCCAAATAATTCATATATTAGAATTTAAATAACAGACTGAACTAGAGGCCGACAATAGCCAGCAAATAACCTTATATAAGAATAAAAATACAAAAGTGTATATCCTAGTATCATTGCATTATCTGTTTTCATAAGTATTTTTAATTTTTGCTTTGCCTGTACATCACAGTTACAGCTACAGACCAGGTAGAGAATATTACACATGTTCTAACTGACTGCCACCAACCTGAACGACAGCAATAGACTGATTCATCCTACTGTATGTGACTATGGAACAGCTGCAGCAGCTCTAAATACCATTAACAGTTGAATTTGCCAATGTCCAATCAAACTATGGTCACAATGGAGGCTTATCACCTGCACAAGGACTCACTTGTAGTCGTTAACCCAGATGATTAAACTAGGGTGGACTACATGAGGAAGGGAAAATTTGCCTTTTGTAAAAAAATCTTCTGTACAGTTTGAATTCTTCATACAGAAGTAGAGAATTACAGGGAATTTTCAGGTATTCACATTGGTCAATTCATTTGCTCATCACTGCAAAGGTGCTTTGACATAAACAGCTTCCTTCCTAGGCCACTTCCCCACAAACATTGTGATTCTAACCTTTAAGTATTATATTAGGCCAGAAGCCAGTTATCTTCAGGGTTCAAAGAGTGGTCCCAGCCCCATCTAATCTGCCAGGGCCTTTGTCCTACATTCTACCTAAGAGGTGCTACACCCACTGGAGTCAGTTTACATTGGGTCTTTGCAATAAAACAAAATGGAAAAGGAGTACAGCAGCATCTCTTGGAACATGGTATCTTCACCACACTCAGTTACTACAGTCTCCCAAGTCTCAGCTATGAGCATCCTGGGTCTATGGAGCAATAGGGAGAAGCCTTGAGGCATCAGAAAGCAGGGAGCTGATTTCTGCACATCTCAAGCCCTAGGCTCTGATAGAGTAACACTGAGTATGGTGCCCAGAAAAATCTCTGCTGCATGTTTCCAAGTGGAACCAACAGGCCCCACCCAACAAAGTTAAAGATACAATCCAATTTGGGTGAGCGGGCTATATGCAAAGACCTTAATTACCTGCAGCACACAGGAAGGTTTACATGAGCACAGCTGGGAACCCATCCTCTGCAATGAAAAGGTCTGGCCACTGTGCCGTTCTGAACTGCTAACTTCAGGAGGGATGGAGCAAGGACAATCACAAGTGTACTTTTATAAAACCCAATCATCTACATGGTTTCTTTTTCAATTAGAGCTTTGCTACTCTGCTTTGCTACTGATCCCAAAATGGCCCAAATGCACTTTCTGAGTCTATAAACTTAATTATGAATTACCCATTAAGTATGTGGCAAGGTCAGTTCAACACTTTATCTCTGCTGACTGTGCAGAAGCAGATTCAGTACCATTGTGGACACAAAGTACAAGATTCTGAAAACATCACCAAGCACTTGGAAGCCATAGCAGCAAGGATGGAAGAGAAGTAACATGCATGACCAGATTCTTGCAAACTGGCTTTTGGAAAAATCTGTCACAAATGGATCTGCAGTAATGACATTTTAGCATTTTTTTCTTTATAAAAAAAAAAAAAGAGCAGTCATAGTCAAACTTTCTTGGGAATACACAGCTTAGCAGGAACTGATGTGTTCAAAATCTGTAGGATATGAGGAAGGAGGGGTTGTTACTCAGAGCATCTAAACATCAGACCAAGCAGGAGGAACAGCTGTGAAATGAACAAATTCTTTGACCCAAAAATACCACTTGCAGGCATATGAGGGAGAGAAAAAAAATCAGAGTAAAAATCAAAGACTTAAAAGTATATTCACCACAGCATTATTTAAATAGCAACAAACAAACAAACAAACAAAAAAACCAAAAGCATCTGAATGTTTTACAACAGGGAAACAGTTGGATAACTTAAAAATTTACAACCATTTGAGTCCACAATTATTGAAAACATGCTTTTGAAGAACTGCTCATGGTATGGAGAAATGTTTAAGGAAAAAAAAGTCAAGTGAAAAGGCTGGATGCAAAATGATGTATGTCGTATGTTCCCAGTTTGGTTTAAAAAGCAAACAAGGGCTAAGGATGTAGCTCAGTGGTAGAGCACTTGCTTAGCACTTCTGAGTGCCCTGATTCAACTCCCAGTACTGGGACAACAAAAAGTTGGGGAAGGAAGAGCAGGATCTACATCAAAATGCTCACAGTGGTCTCTGAATGATCGCCTTTCTTTTACTTTCAGAAAACAGATATTACTTGAAAGCACACAATCACCTATGGCCCCCTTTGCTGGCACTGGGAGTCTGTGCCACACTTGACTACCTGCAAGGTTACTTCAAACATGGATCATAAACACTAGGGTGGCCCAAAGAGGGCTGCAGCAGGTGAAGTTTCTACCAGTCTGACACAAGCCATCTTTCTCAAAGTGGTTTTTACTGCATCTACCAGGTCAGAGCTTAAAATGATAGCTGAGTCATGATGCCACTCCCTGGAGTGCCGAGACTCAGCTACATGGGGATGCCCACTGCCCAGCCAGAGCGCAGAAAAACAGGTGAAATGACCCACTCAAGTTCAGCTTCATCTGTGACACCAAGAAAAGACAGGGCTAGTGGGCTGTGGGGTACAGTCCACTACACCTAGGTAGGAGAAGCCAGAGGACAGTCTTCAACTTTCTGTTCATCCTTGCCATTCTTAGGACACATGACGTCTGGAGCTAATGGGGCACTTCTTTCTCTTCTTAGCTAGATTCCCCATTTACTGTTTTACACACACACACACACACACACACACACACACACACACACACACACAATCACAACTTGTACAAACTGACACCCACATCCTGTCCTACAGTGTAAGGCACCTGCACACTGGGTGACGGCTCTAAGGATGACTGGAAAAAACTGAAAGTGATCTAAGTCAGGGTAAGAAAAGAATATGCATGGTTCTCTAAGGGGAAAAAAAATCAAGGAAAAGGGGGCAGTAAGGATAAAGGTGACCTGGGAAAAGCTCAGCTATTGGAGCACAGGGCAGTCATCATGACCACCCACTACCAGCTCAGCTACACCCTGATTTTGGAGGTTAGGATGGCGCTTGGTAAAAGCCCAGGAGGTAGTGTTGCTCTCCAGGGGAGGAAGCAACAGAGGACTCTCCCATAAGCCAGCTGGGTGTTCTAATTCAAGCCACGCCACAGCCCCATGTGGTCCCCTGTAGTTAAGTGCCCTCAGAGATGCATTCCCTGGGTCTGCATACACGAAACAGCCAGGAAGCCACTCTTTACATGCAAACACAGGGTATAGGACACTCTGAGGACTAAATAGCCACAAGGCATGAGCAAGAACAGGACTCTAAGGAGGAGACAGCCAAGTGTAGCTAGTATGGGTTCTTCAAAAACCAGGAGAAAGAGTGCCCACTTTCACTCACAGGCTGACAGTGTGCTGGGCTATCTGTTCCCTGGGTCCTAGGGGCAAGTGAGGTCCTGACACCTGCTCCTTGGTCACTCGAAGCTCTTATCACACAATCGAGCAAAGTCTGAAGAAGACCTGTGTTCCCATCAAGCACTCCTACCAAGGCATGATGGTGAGCTCTTCATCTACACTCCACCCCAGTTGAAAAGAACCACTCTTACTGTTCGAAGTCTGAGAACAGAATCTTTCTTCTCTTAGTTCGGGCGGCCTGGCCCACAGGTGGTCACTGTGGACAGAACTGGGGTAATTTCTGTGTGGGCATTTTTAGAGTGCATGTATGAAAGTCAAAAGAAATGGCAAAATTGTTGCTGCCTTCGGGACATGGGAGTCAGAGGTGTTGCTGTGAGAAGTCTATGAAGGCAGGTGCCTACTTTTTCCCACTAGGGACCAAGGGCCACCCTTCAGGGACACCCTAGTCAGAGAGAGGTACAACCAAGTCCCTCAGAAGCATTCAGCAAGAGCGCTGACATATCCCAGGCCATCTGTATTATAAACAAAGCATTGTCACCTCAGCATCAGAGAAGTGTCCCAATACTGGCAAAGAACACCAGCACAAGCAGGCTCAGGTTTAAGTGGGCTATTCCTGTGAGCATTGGTAACATTCTTTCCAGGCAAGGTCTATGCTCTATGATATCAGGTGACCAGGCAACATGAGAAGGCTTTCAGATTTTCAACAGAGATGTAAAAACTGAGCTAGCTGAGAAGTGTTTACCCACAGCACCAATAGGTACATGTGAGGCTGGGCAGGAGACTGGCACACACCCTGGGATTTTTCTCAGTCCCTGCCTCATAGAGCATGTGGCCTACACATTAAAACTACGCAGAAACCGCCGGGCAGTGGTGGTGCACGCCTTTAATCCCAGCACTCGGGAGGCAGAGGCAGGCGGATGTCTGTGAGTTCGAGGCCAGCCTGGTCTCCCAAGTGAGTTCCAGGAAAGGCGCAAAGCTACACAGAGAAACCCTGTCTCGAAAAACCAAAAAAAAAAAAAAAAACTATGCAGAAACCCCCAGGAAGGCCTGCTACCCCACTCCTCCACATGGGAGCTGTGGCCCAGGCTGGATTCTCCATGGTACTTCCAGCCTTGCCCAGGTTCAGGATAGGATTCTGTATCCGATAGCGATCTAGTTGGGGTTATCTAGGTGCTGGAATGACAGCACCCCTCCTGGACACATGCTTGGCTGGGTGTCTAATTCCCTGCATGAACTGCTAGAAGTGGAATGCTGGAGTAGAGCCCAATGAGGGCAGCCTGTGACTACAGCAGCCTGAACACTTCTCACCATACAACCTACCTGCTGTTAAGACAGGAACCACAGAAATCCTGCTGCCAGAAACACACCTGACCACATCTCTAGGGCCATATCAGGGACTCAAGGAAGGGAGTACACAACAAGCTAAGAGCCCTGTACCTACAGTACACTGGTGACCACCCCAGTGGAGGAGTGAAGAGGTTCCCTGGTGAAGAAGAGCCAGATACACCCAGTCCCTCAGTCACAGCAAGAGCTGTGTTATCAGGTGGGGAGGAGAAGAAGTAGGCATGCAGTTCCTGTGGATGCTAGGAGGGGCTGGTGATGCCAAATCTGGCCACTTGTCTGGGCAGAAGCTGGGCTACCGTGCAAGGAACTGGGTCTCCATGGCCACAGCAGCACATGGAAGCCACCACAAAGCACAGAGAGCAAGCAAAGCGACCCTGAATTCCTGTTTGTTGGTTATTTGTTTTGTTCTTTGTGTGGCTGGGTTCTTTTTTTTCTTTTCTTTTAAATAAAAAAGCTGCAAGGTTTCCGCCATCCATGTTCTCCTTGAGATGGCTGGCAGGTGGTCTGGAAGCGTCCTGGGTGGCGGCCGAGCCGCGCTGGGGCAGGTGTCCTGGCAGCGATAGGCAGCCCGGCCGCAGGCCACGTCACTGCACAGCAGCATCTGGATGGCTCTGGTACCGCTGCCGCCAAACTTCCTGAATCTTTCTGCACCACTTGTGAGCATTCCCGCTTGGATCCATCAGGTAATACGTCCTGTTAGGCTGCAAAGACAGAGCATCTGATGTCCTCCAGAGTCCCGTCCCCACCCAGCCTGTCCTGCTGTCAATGCTGCCAGCATCTTTCTGAAGCCTTTGTGCACAGTGGGCTTCTTCTTTCTACAAGCACAGAAACTAAGGACATGGGCAGCTGACCTACCAAAAGCAAAGATTAAGTAAGCCGAGTATCTCCTGGCCCAATTCTGGCCTAAGTTGTTCATACAGGTCTCTGAGACACAGGAAGCTGACCTGACCCTAGATGCTTCCTTGGCCAAAGCAAAGGACACTTCCAACCGAGATGCAGAAGCCTGTGGTGACACTAGAATCAGAGGCCTTGCAGGGACAGACTCACCGTGTGGACAAAGAAAGTTTTAAAATTCTTGGCCTCTGGTCGGAGTTCTTGTGACCATGGAATTTCACCTTTCAAGACTTTGTTGACAGGATCAACGTAATATAAATGTGGCCCTTCTGTGAGTAATAACTGTCGTCGTCTTGCAAATAAACCCTGGTACAAATAAATAAATAAATAAATAAATAAATAAATAAATAAATAAATAAATAAATAAATAAATAAACTGTATGATCAAGGCACAGATGGGACTAACTTGTAAGTAGTTCATGGCATAGTGACTGCCAGCTATCCAGACACCTCTTCCTCAACCTAGGCCCAGCATCTTACATCAAGAAAACATAAGCACAGGTCTCTGCTGTTTAGCTCACAATGTGCCCATCAATGGCTAGCCTGTAGTCCCCTGGCCCCTCAGCTTCTCTAAGGCACAGAGTCTGCTCTTGGCAGGCCAGGCCTCAGTCCACCTTCATGGAGATTCTCACTTCCAGAGTACATACAGCCAAGAAGGATGTTAGGAAGCCCCTGATAGCAGACTCTGATATATTCTGCATTATCTGCTGCCCATAAAATGTAATAAACAGCAGGACAGTGGTGGCCCACACCTTTAATCTCAGTACTCAGGAGGCAGAGGCACGTGGATCTCTGTTGAGTTCCAGGCCAGCCTGGTCTATAGAGCCAGATCCAGGACAGCCAGGGCTACACAGAGAAACCCTGTCTGGGAAACAAACAAGCAAACAAAAGTAAACAAATGCAATAAACAATAACTCGTGCATTTTCAAATCTTCTAATGAAAGACTCTCAGAAATGATATATCCTTCTCAATGTGACAGAAACCTTAGCATAGTGAGATGGGCCTTGTGCAACCATGAGAAAGCATGCCCTGTAGACAGAGCTGGTTTCCCACACCCCCACTGCTTCCTTGAGAGTCTGAGTGTTCCTGGTTATAAAATCTAGAGATGATCTCCAAAGATCATGTCAAAATGCCATATCCGACAACTCATTGCAGGACCCAGGGATGAAGAATGATCTGAGCTAGAAGCAGTAAGAAGACACAGGATGACGAGCATCAGGAACTCGACTCACCTTTCGCTTATCCACTGGGCCCATTTTTAATATTAGATTATTTTCTACAAACTGGTGCCTAAAAGAGAAAGAAAGAAGAATGAGACAGCAGTTCTCCAAACTCTCTCCTTCAGGCAAACTCCTCAGGGCCTCTGTAGACTTTACATTAGTCAAGTCTGCCCCCACCCCACAGATGCAGACCCTCTTCAGGTCCTGGAGATAGCCCAGATGCAATGATCAATGTGTACAGATTTTATCTGCACAGACAGGCCAAACCTACATTCCTGGGGTCATCTTCCAGTTGGAGATAGCTGAAAAGCAAAGGAAGGCTGGGATTCGACGCCACAGACACAAGGTAACACACAGCATCAACATCACCCTAAGTATCATCATGTTAGAAAACTGCGGGGCTGGAGAGATGGCTCAGAGGTTAAGAGCACCGACTGCTCTTCCAGAGGTCCTGAGTTCAATTCCCAGCAACCACATGGTGGCTCACGACCATCTGTAATGAGATCTGGCGCCCTCTTCTGTATACATAATAAATAAATAAAAAAAAAAAAAAAAAAAAAGAAAACTGCAGTGGAGCTGGGTGTGTGGCACACAACTGCCAGCACTCGGGAGACAGAGGCAAGAGCATCTCACAGGATTGGATGCCACTGTCAATCAATACTGGAATCTGTAAATTATTTCCCAAGCCAGGACACCTAACAGTGCCTAGAATCCAAAGTTCTATAGAAGCACAAATCCTTAAAAGATAGCTTCAGAATATCTTTTCCGGGTTGAGGTGTATTGCTTAGTGGTATAGGGGGTATTTAATATGTACCAGGTGCTAAGGCCCTGGGGTTTCAATTCCCAAGATGGTGATGAGGGTGGGAGCGTGTCTTTTCCAATATTTCTACCATATTGATAAAAGACATTTATTCAAATATGTTAAGAATTTGGTCTGACCAGAGGCCTCAACCCAGACCAATGACTCTTTGCAATGAACATTTGCAAGCAGAGATGTATAGACCAAAGAGTATCCGGCATGACTTGTTAGGTTGCACTGCAACTTCCAGGACAAGATTTTTAATTCCTTCCCCCTTTTTTTCATTTTTAAAAAAATTTTTCATTTTTTTCTCTTGAATTTTGTTTTATTGGGGGGGTACAGGGGTAGAGGGTGGATGCCAAGGGACAGAGATTGAATGGGATCAAGATACATGATGTGAAAAACACAGAATAAATAAATTTTATTAATTAAAAAAAAAGAATTTGGTCTGAGGCTCTGCAGGTAAAGGCACCTGATGGCCAAGGTCAATCCCTGGGAACCACACAGTGGAAGGAAAAACCTTACTCCCGTAAGTTATCCTATGACTTTTACACATGGACTACAGCATGAACATGTGGAAGGAGAGAACTAACTCCTCCAAGTTGTCCTCTGACTTACATGTGCACAAACAATAAATAAATAATGTTAAAAATTCTTTTGAAGAATTTGGTTTGACTACTACATGAGCAGCATGTGTACTTCACTTTGTCTCCTCAGAGTCAAAGACAGTTTAACATCTAAGGTCACTCTAGTGGGCTAAAGCTACCTTTGAAATACCTGCACATGGTACTTTTTCTAAGATACTCTAATAGAACCCATTGCTTCGTGTGTCCAGGCAAGCACTCTACCCACCGAGCTACAGCTCAGCCCAATATGTCCTGTCTGATGGCATTTCTACTATTTTAAAAAAAAGAAAAGAAAAACACACACACACACATTTTCTGTCTGAAAATTGTCTAAGTCAAGCATGTAGATACTCTTGATACCTTCCTGAGGAGCCAGAGCACTTATGAGAACAACCTTCTAGGCCCCACTACCTGACCCACAGAAAACCAACCAGACTGCCTTTCTAAGGCATGCTACATAACCAACTCTTGGTCTCAAATCACACACAATACAGTACTGTGTAGGACTTTAAGAACAACTGAGACTCTGAACAAGGACAGGACAGTGACCCATGAGAAAGAGTGAAATATGCATTCTTTGAAAGGTATTTACTAACCAAACAGCCAACTTGAAACACAGGAGGGGAAAGGCTGGTTCTGAAAAGAACTTTAGTGAGGAAGACCTACTGCCACACAGAAGGTACAAAGCACAAAGATGTGCAGGTAATCCTGTATGGCCTACCACAAACAAACAAGCAGACTCTGTAATATTTTAACATAAGCAAAGACTTAGGTAAAGAAAGCAAAGACTTACTAATTTAATTATTGGAGGGGAGCAAACAACACAGGAAGCAGAGTCAGCAGCCAAGGAAGCACACACGCTTCCAGACAAGCACCAGCCTGTCCTTGGTTCACTCTGCACACAGAGAATGTACTCCCACCCCAGCGTCCTGTAAGTCTTTGTGTGTGTGTGTGTGTGTGTGTGTGTGTGTGTGTGTGTGTGTGTGTGTGTGTGTGTGAGAGAGAGAGAGAGAGAGAGAGAGAGAGAGAGAGAAAGTCACTTGCCTACAGCCCAGGATTCAGAGGCACAGGAAACAGAAGCCAATGAAGCTCCATTAGCAGCAGCACCCCCACAATCTACTACTTAACAAGCCACATGCAACAGGTTACTGCTATTATCTGCCTGCTTTCTTTCTCTTTCTTTTTTTCTTCCTTTCTTCTCTCTGGTGGTATTAGGGGTTGAACCTAAGGAAAGCATTCTATCATTGAGCCACATCCCCAGCTCTGTTTATCTACTTTGAAAAGATTACTTCAAAGACTCATCTGGACTTTAAAAAAAAATTATAGGCCAGTGGTGGCACACACCTTTAATCTTGGCACCTGGAAGGCAGAGGCAGATGGATCTCTGTGAGTTCAAGGCCAGCCTGGTCAACAAACCAAGTTCCATGACAGTCAAGAAACCCTGTTACACAGAGAAACCCTGTCTCAAAAAAAAAAAAAAAAAGTGTGAGTGTTTTGCCTGCATCTGCAGAGGCTAGAGGGGATGATGGATCCGCTGGAACTGGAGTTACAGATAGTTTTGAGCTGTCATATGGGTGTTGGGAATCAAACCCTGGTCCTCTTCTCGGCTGAGCCATCTCTCCAGCCCTATTGATTTTTTACTGCAAAGTCAATCCCCACTCCTGGAGCAGCCCCGGGCACACTTTACGCACCTTTCTCCCTGAAAGATTCATAGCTACAACTATACCTGAAATAGAGCCACAGATAACAACGCAGTTCATGGGCAGCCTCCCATTCACACATAGCAATGTGGCCCTCTCAAAACAAGCAAATTCTGTCATTGATGCCAAAGAGATGAAGACACCGAGGCTGAGGAGTTCATGCTTCACCCATGGTCAACTCACAATAATAGCCATGCAAAACTCCAAAGCCTGGTCCTCCCCTCTGCTACCCATACAGACTCCAAGCCTATCTCCAAGGACCCGAGCCTACGGCCCCAGAACAGCTTCACTGTTTTCTTGGAGAGCACAGTGCAGTTGTAGACTGGAGTACCCCTGACACCTGAGATGTCTCTACAGAGCTGGCTGTACTTGGGTAAGAACACCTGTGGTGCTGGATAGCAGGCACTAATCCGTTTCCAATGTCAGCAATCTAGCCCTCAGGTCTCATTTTTATCTTATTTTACTTTTTATTAGACTTATATTCATTTTTTAAGATTAATTTATTTATTATGTATACAGTGTATATGCCTGCAGGCCAGAAGAGGGCACTAGATCTCATTACAGATGGTTGTGAGCCACCATGTGGTTGCTGGGACTTGAACTCGGGACCTCTGGAAGAGCAGTCAGTGTTCTTAATCTCTGAGCCATCTCTCCAGCCCCAGACTTATTCATTTTATGCATGATTGTTTTATCTGCATGTATGTTTGTGCACAACCTGTGTGCCTGGTGCCAATGAAGGTCAGAAGAGACATCGAATCTCTGGAAATTAGTTATGTATGGTTGTGAACCACCACTTACTGAAAATTGAACCTGTGTCCTCTGCAAGTGCTCTTAGCCACTGAGCCATCCCTCCAGCCCAGGCCACATGAACTTTGTACTCCACTCCAACATTCAAAGAAGCCCCCATTAGCATTGCTCTCTCTGGACTTTAACTTCCAATATGCAGTTCAGGAAATTTCAACACATGCTTTCAAGTATTTATTCATGTTTGTTTTATTGTTTTGTTTTGCCTGGAACTTTGATAGTGTTGGCTGGCCTCAACCCTCTTGCCTCTGCTTTCTATGTGCTAGGATTACAGACAAATATCACCATTCCCAGCTTCAAATATTTATTTAATTAAAAATAATAAACCTGCGAAGTGGAGAGATGACTTAGTGGTGAAGAGCTCTGGCAGCTCTTCCAGAGGTCCTGAATTCAGTTCCCAGCAACTACAATGGAGGCTCACAACCATCTGCAAGGGATCTGATGCCCTCTTCTGGCATATAGGCATATATGCAGATAAAGAACCATATATATAAAATAAATCTTTGGCTCAGTGGTTAAGAGCACCGACTGCTCTTCCAGAGGTCCTGAGTTCAATTCCCAGCAACCACATGGTAGCTCACAACCAATTGTAATGAGATCTGGCGCCCTCTTCTGGCCTTCAGGGATACATGCAGGCAGAATACTGTATACATAATAAATCAATCAATCTATAAATAAATAAATAGATGAAATAAATCTTTAAAAAATTATTTAAGCTGGACAGTGGTGGCACATGTCTTTTATCCCAGCACTTGGGAGGCGGAGGCAGGTGGATTTCTGTGAGTTTAAGGCCAACCTGGTCTACAGAGTGAGTTCCAGGACAGGCTCCAAAGCTACACAGAGAAACCCTGTCTCGAAAAACAAAAAACAATTTTTTAAATAAATAAATAAATAAACCTGAACCAGCCAGATGACTCAGCTGTTAAAGGCTGACTCTAGGCCTGACTTCTACACATGCTCTGTGGCACATACATGCACACACATACATAAAAATGATTAGCATACATTAGCATACACATGTGCACGTGCACACATACACTCACATGTGTGTCTACAAATGATCTACTCTATACGGAGCTGTATCCTAAGTGCCTCCTTGTGTTTTAAACTGACAACTGTTGAAGTAACTGACTTAGGCATCTGCGATCATGTCATCAACCTCGTTTCCTGAGGATGAAGGGCACCTGCTCAATGTTCTTCAAAGGACTGTGCTAGCCAGTGCTTCATGTGTGGCTCTTCCCTACCTCTTACACCTTCTACCCCAATGGACTCTTACCGTGATTCTCAGAACTGTGCTCTTCATTGTGAGATGCCTCCTTTGCATGACATAGGGAGCACACTCTCTGCAGTGATTCTATGATGGACTGGGTAGGTTAATTCTAGTCCAGTGACTTGCTCTCCTGGTTCTATGGTATTCCCCTGCTATCTTTAGAAGCTATGGCTATGCCACAGCCTCCTTTACCAATTCATTCCTCTGTGATGGTGGACAGTATGAGCCAGAAAGAATGACCTAGTTCTGCAGTTCTTGCAAGCATGCCTTCTTCAGAAAACTCAAATCTTCTGTGTGCACACACACATGTATGTACATGTGGGTTAGAGGTCAGGTGTCTCCCTCAACTGATCTCCATTTCTTTTTTTTTTTTTTTTTAGATTTTATTTTTATTTTATGTGTTTGAGTTCTCCACCAGTGGTGGTTAGAATGAAAATGGCCCAATAGGCTCATATATGTGAATGGTTAGTCACGAAGAAATGGAACTGTTTCAAAGGATTAAGAAGTGCGGCCTTGTTGAAAGAAGTATGGCACTAGAGGTGGGCTGAGGTTTCAAAAGCCCATGACAGACCCAGTCAGTCAGTCAGTCAGTCAGCCTGTGTGTCTCTCTCTCTCTCTCTCTCTCTCTCTCTCTCTCTCTCTCTCTCTCTCTCTCTCTCTCTGCCTGCAGTTCAGGATATAAAGTTCCCAGTTATTACTCTAATCCTTTCCTTCATGCAGCCATGCTCCCTCCCACCATGATGATAATAGACTAAGCCTCTAATTAAATGCTTTCTCTTATAAACTTAAGATACCACTTATTTTTCCTTCTATTTATTTGTTTGTTTGTGTGTTTGCTTGTTGTTTTTTGAGACAGGGTTTCTCTGTGTAGTTTTTGGTGCCTGTTCTAGATCTCGTTCTGTAGACCAGGCTGGCCTTGAACTTACAGAGAGCCGCCTGGCTCTGCCTCTCAAGTGCTGGGATTAAAGATGTGCACCACGGCCACTCAACTTATATATTTATTTTATGTATATGTGCACTACATGTATATATGTGCACTACATGTATGCCTGGTATCTGAGAAGGTAAGAAAGGGTACTGGATCTCCTAAAACTAAAGTTATGGATGATTGTGAGCCATCATATGGTGTTGAGAATTGAACCTGGTTTCTCTGCAAGAACAACAAGCATTCTTGGCCCCTGAGCCATTTCTCCAGGCCCTCTCCACCAAACCTGGAGTTGACCAATTTGGCTAGACTAGCTGGTCAGCCAGCCATTGATCAGAGATCATACTATTTTTTCCTCCCCAGCAATGGGAATGCAGGTATGCATTTCCACACCTAATTCTTTATGTGGTTGCTGGGTACTGAATTCAGGTCCTCGAGCTTACATAGCAAGGACTTTACTGACTCAGCCATCTCCACAGTCCTTACACCTTTTTAGACTTATATGGTGCTGCTGGGGCTGAAAAAAAAAACCTTTAAGTCAATAATCTTTTTTTGTATTATAAATGTTCTTTTACTTTACACAAGTATTAATATCAAAAGTAACTGTTTTAGATAAAATTTACAGAACTATATATTATTTTTAATATTTTTTAATACTATCACAAAACAGGTCAACAAAGTTTACTTGTATTTTTATATAGGTACATGATCATGATTTTAAAGTAATGGCTTAGTGGACAATTAAAATTACAAAGTAATTATAGCAGGTATAACTGAAGATTGCTCATGAGAGTATAGTATAAATATTAGAATATTTTAATCTAAAATCTTTTTTTTTGTTTTTGTTTTTGTTTTTTGAGACAGGGTTTCTCTATGTAGCTTTGTGCCTTTCCTGGATCTCACTCTGTAGACCAGGCTGGCCTCGAACTCACAGAGATCCGCCTGCCTCTGCCTCCCAAGTGCTGGGATTAAAGGCGTGCGCCACCACCGCCCGGCTTAATCTAAAATCTTTAAGCCATAAACTTACTACAGAAAATAACATACATACATTCATTCTATGTACTGTTAAGATAATGTCCATCCTCCAGTATGTAGCCACTGAAAAACTCTACTGCATACTAGCAGCAAATAACAGCGAGAAAAGGTAACTATTATCTTAGCATTAACATACTAATTTTGTCACAGGAAAGATAGGAAATCCATGAAGCTCTCTACAGAGGCATCACTTTGCACACACCTCCCCGAAAATAGTGCTTCTGACCAGGTCCTGAGAGGAAGAGCTCCTGCACGAGACTCCAGAAAGCAGGACAGCTGGGGACTCAGCATTCACAGGCCTAGGAAGCATACACACTGTAGCTAGGACTGCTCAAATGGTTTTCATTAAAAATCTTCCTTAGATTACAGAATGGGAGAAAATATTGACCAGCCACACTTCACATAGGAGATTAACATCTAGAATATATTAAGAACTATAAACACTTAAAAAACCCAAACTGCCAATCAATAAATGAGTTAAGAAACTAAACAGACAGTTCTCAAAAGGAGAAACACAAATGGCTAATACACATTTTAAAAAGTGTTCAACATCCTTAGCCACTAGGGAAATGTAGATTAAAACTATTTTGAGATCCTATATCATCCCTGTCCTAACAGCTACCATCAAGGAAACAAGCCAGGTATGGTGGCACATGCCTTTAATTCCAGCACTCAGGCAGAAGGGTCTATGTGAGTTCGAGGCCAACTTGGTCTACAGAGTGTGCTGTGGGATGTTCTGTATGCTGTAAATGTGTTGCTCTGATTGGTTAATAAATAAAGTGCTGATTGGCCAGTAGCCAGGCAGGCAGTATAGGCAGGACAAGCAGAGAACAGAATTCTGGGAACAGGAAGGCCAAGTCAGGAGTCGCCAGCCAGACACAGAGGAAGTGAGATGTAAAAGTACCAGTAAGCCACAAGCCAAGTGGCAACTTATAGATTAATAGAAATGGGTTAATTTAAGATGTAAGAGCTAGTCAATAGTTAGCCTGAGCTAATGGCCGAGCAATTTTAATTAATATGAGCTTCTGAGTAATTATTTTATAAGTGGGCTGCAGAACTGCTGGGGCCAGAGCGGAACTGGAGAAAACTTCAGCTACAAGAGTGAGTTCCAGGACAGCCAGAGCTACACAGAGAAACCCTGTGTTGAAAAACAAAACCAAAGAAAGGAAGGAAGGGAGAGAAGGAAGAGAGGGAGGGAGGGAGGGAGGGAGGAGAGAGGGCGGGAGGGGGGGGAGAAAGGAAAGGAAGGAGGGAGGAAGGGAAGGAAAGAAAGAAAGAAAAAAAGAAAGAAAGAAAGGAAGAAAGGAAGGAAGGAAGGAAGGAAGAGAGGGAGAGAAAGAAAGAAAGAAAGAGTACATGTGATCTGAAATATGAGAGGTAGGATGGGTACAGGAGTACAGACTGGGGGTGGCAAGGGAATGAGAGGGAGAATCGGCAAAAACAACGTACATACAGTGATACCATAATGAAACCATGCTAATTAAAAAACAAATAAGGAGCTGGAGCCATCGCTCAGCTTTCCAAGATGGCTCAGCTTTCCAAAGGACCCAAGTTTAGTTCCCAGCACCTACATTAGGTGGCACATCACAACCATCGGTCATTCATGCTCTAGGGGACCCAACACCTCTAGCTCCTCAGGTACCTGCACTCATGTGCACAGACCCACACATACACATAATTTATAATAAAAAAATAAATAAAATTAAAATAAAGCAGAAACAAAAATTCTTTCTATCCCTGATAGTAATACTACCTTAGGAAAGAGTAAGTTAAGGGACAAATTTAAACTCTCCAGAATTGTAGGTTATTTTCTAGGAGCAGCATCTATATTTAATTTTTCTAGAGAAAGGAAGTATTGGCAGTAAGCCGTTCTAGTCTTAGCCATCTGCATGTCACTGGAAAAGCTATTAAGGGTTCTCCTCCCTTTTCATAAAGTCTCCTGAGTCTTGTGCATTCTCCCTCCTGCCTTAACAAGACCTCAATTTTCCTCCTCCCATTGCACCCAAATACATATTCCTGAGAGACCCCTCTGCCACAAAAAAGGCCTAAGTGTCATGGGAGTAGATATGCTCAAAACATATTATACACGTGTATAGAACATAAAACAGTACAAGAAAATAAAGGCAGTCAGGCATTGTGGCACACATCTTGAACCCTTGCACTTGGGAGAGGCAAGTAGATCTGTATCAGTTTGAGGCCATCATAGTCTACATGGCAAGTTCTAGACCAAGGTAAGACCTTGTCTCAAAAACAACAACAATATAAAGGGAGTGGGAGTGCCACTTTCACACTGAAACCCTTTCAGTAGACTTGGATAGAAAACAAGATTAGGACAGGAACAGGTTAGATGGACATCATAAAAATTTACAACTGTAAAACAGTATCCACAAATAGACTGAGAGGTAAGCTGAAGAAAATGTTGGCAAAATACAGAGAATGGCTTTCATATATATGAGTCTTAAAATCAATTTATAAAGAATACAATGTAATTCAAGCCCCATCTCTGAGGTCTCCCAATAACTTCTGAGAACATGCGTCAAGGACAAGCAACCAGCCCATGTCTGTTCCCATGCACCCTGTATTTCTACATGGGGTGCTGATGCCTACAGTTCTTACCAAGGGTTTCCACTGGCTTGCTTCTCCAATAACAACCTTTTTTCATCTTCTGAAAACTGTAAGTCTAGTTCAAAAGAGTTAGTGTCCAAATCATGGATGTACTGCTCTATGTTGCTGCCTGACCTCTGGGGCAGGCTGGTATCCACCGCAGACAGGGAGTGGGAAGAGGAGGAGGAGGACACCTGCATGCAGCCAAACTGACTCAGGAGATTGTCGTACTGCAAGGAAAAAGGAAAGGAGAGATGTACTTTAATTTGTCTGTAAGGTCAAAGAC